TTTAAGTATGATTTCATTTCTATTTCATTGGCTGTGCTATTTTGTTATCAATAATGATTTTCCTTTGAAGGTAAGGATGCCCAGACAGATGAAGAAATTGATGCTTTCATCCGTCAATACGCAGACACAGCATACCACCCATCATGCACTTGCAAGATGGGAGACTCTGATGACAACATGGCTGTAGTCGACAACCAAGGCCGCGTATTTGGTGTTGAAAATCTACGTGTTATTGACTCATCTATAATGCCTAGTATTGTCAGCGGTAATCTCAATGCGCCCACGATAATGATAGCAGAAAAGATGGCCGACTGTATCCTAGGCAACCAACCGTTGCCAAGGTCAAATGCACCTGTGTATCAAACACCTGAAAAGGGACAGAGATGATGAAAGAATTTGAACATTAAAAGAGAGCTAAAGACAATGAAAATTATAGGAAAGAAAGACAACTGGAAGATGATTTAACCTCCTTTTAAGGGGAAAAAAGATCTTATGTGAATTTTGGTTTGTCTCAACTGTGAACTTGCAAGAGTTATCCTCAACCCCTCCCTCATGTCAGGGGTTCTATGAGTTGTACTTCATGGCATTAAAGTTTGATTTCTTCATAACAGTCCAGATATTGCATTTCACACATTAATGTACAGTAATATATGGACTCACCTCCACTCTTCTAAAGTATGAAATTTTCCAGTCGTAAGGGTAATAATAGTCTCCTTTGCACCAGTTTTTTGAGGCTTCCTGGTCCTCCCCAAAGGGCTTCCTGTCCCTCCCCAAAAATTGGACGAAACCAGAAGTTGTGGCTGTGAGAGACTACCCCAAAGAAGCTCAAAGGTTGCAAAGGAGACTAGGGTAATCAAAGGATATGCATCTAATAGTCTTCTTCATGGTTACCTGTGCCATCTTGAAAGGTAGCCGTGCCTTTGCATCGAAGCGAGACGACCGTTGAGCGTGCAATGATAGAAACCTTCTTTCACCTACAGACAATTATTCACAGGTATCTATCATTGCACACTCAACGGTCGTCTCGCTTTGATGCAAAGGCACGGCTACCTTTCAACATGGCGCAGGTAACCGTGAAGAAGACTATTGAAAGAAAACTTAGTCAGGTTCAAGAAAGGCTATTTCATAAAAAACTGGGAGGAGGTGATTCAGTGTCACAAGATCTAAATAAAATGACCTCAACAAGCAATACTATTATGTATCATGTTTAGACAAATATGATCTGAATTTCTGAGTACCCAAAATCCCTTGCAGTCTTAGATTTGATGATATCCCTTGGTGAACTGGCAATGTTTTAAATAAGGTGTATCAGGAGAGAGAAAAAGAATTCATAGTTTACAATTAATGTTAAGACAACAACAAAAAACTCAAAATCATTGCTATTTGTAATGTAAACCTTTTTACTGAATAAAATTTGCCAATGACATTACTGATAAAACTGTATGAGCCTAATATAGTRTCGCAGTGTTCAAAGCTTGATTTACTCTAACCCTGGCTTAACTCTGAAGCTAAATCTAACTACAGGGTTCGTGCTACATTTTCACAAAAAATCCTAGGACTTTCAAGTACTTTTTAAGCACAAAAATGTGATTTTCAAGRAGYATTTTTGAATGTAGTTTTTAATGTTTGCGGACTTTTCAAGTGGCGATTTTCAAAAACAGCCAAATTTCAATCCAAAAGCTAAGAAGCAACACGTCAATCTTATCAGATTCAAGGCGTTTTCCAGGAGTTTTAGCGATTTTTCCCATTTTCAAGGTCTTTCAAGAACCCTTGAAAACAAGTTTTCAATTCCAGGACTTTTCAAGGAATAGCACGGACCCTGTAACCAAGAGTTAACTCTTACCACCATCTACGAGTTGAACCTGTTTTATATAGGTAGTTAACGTTGGATTAATGCTTAAGTATTGAGCTTTGAAAACCCTGACACAGATAAACCAACGTCATTCCCAGGCTTCTTTGCTTGTTTAAAAAGAGAACCTGGAAACAAGGTTGACAGATGTACAAGAAATGAATTCATTTCTTAACCCAGGCAACGCAAACTAAGAGCTACACACACAAGCCTGGTTTGCCTGTGCTTTAGCTATACATCCATTACACAGTAGCCATATTGAATTTTATCATTTTTAAAAAGAACATGAAATACTGGAATAGTTCT